CCCCCCCCGTCTCTCCTTTCCCCGTCATTGTTGCCACCTTCGCCACCGTTCGTCAGTCGCACCATGTCTGAGGTCACCGAGGGGAACAGCCTCCCTGACCATATGACCCCGGTGCTCGCGGGCTCCACCCCGGGCTACACCGGCAAGAAGGGGAAATACCGCCGGGAGAAGCGTACGCCCACCCCCTCCTTACGCACTTGCTTTTGGTGTTGCCGTCGCGGCTGACATCCCCGCCCCCTCACCCCCCCCCCCCCCTTTCCTCATCTAGCCTGGGACACTGATGACATTGACCGCTGGAAGCCGGTCACCATCACCGCCGAGGAGTCTTCCGGGTCCTTCCTCGAGGAGTCCTCCTTCGCCACGCTCTTTCCCAAGTACCGCGAGAAGTATCTGAAGGAGATCTGGCCCGAGGTGACGCGGGCCCTGGACAAGCATGTGCGTTCTCGCGCCCTCCCCTCGCCACCGCCCAGCCCACTGGCGCCCCTCGAATCTGGCCTCATTTTGCTCCGCCTCTTCCGACCATGCCTTGGCCCTGGCCTGTCCTCCCGGCTCGCGGCTAACTCCCCTGCCTGTCCTGCACTCGCCCGCCATGTGCTCTTTGCACGTCTCCCCCCCCCCCTCGCACGCACACACACACACACACACAAAGGGCATTGCCTGCGTGCTGGACCTGATCGAGGGCAGCATGACGGTCAAGACCACGCGCAAGGCCTTCGACCCGTTCATTCTCTTCAAGGCGCGCGACCTGATCAAGCTCCTGGCCCGGTCGGTGCCCTTCGTCCAGGCGGTGCGCATCCTGGAGGACGACATGGCCTGTGACATCATCAAGATCGGCAACATCGTCCGCAACAAGGAGCGCTTTGTCAAGCGCCGCCAGCGCCTGATCGGCCCGGATGGCAACACCCTCAAGGCGGTGGAACTCCTGACCCAGTGCTACATCCTGGTCCAGGGTAACACCGTGTCCTGCATGGGTCCCTTCAAGGGCTTGAAGGTGGTTCGCCGCGTGATTCTCGACTGCATGAACAACATCCACCCCATCTACCACATCAAGGAGCTGATGATCAAGCGCGAGCTGGAGAAGGATGAGACGCTGAAGAACGAGAATTGGGACCGGTTCCTGCCGAAGTTCAAGAAGAACATCGGCCGCGCCGAGGCCCCCAAGCAGAAGAAGAGCAAGAAGACCGCGTCCGGGCTGCGGGCCGATGAGCACGTGTGCTCTTCCGATCTAAGGAGCTGATGATCAAGCGCGAGCTGGAGAAGGATGAGACGCTGAAGAACGAGAATTGGGACCGGTTCCTGCCGAAGTTCAAGAAGAACATCGGCCGCGCCGAGGCCCCCAAGCAGAAGAAGAGCAAGAAGACCGCGTCCGGGCTGCGGGCCGATGAGCCGGCCGCCGCCCCCGCGGCCGCCTCGCATGACGGGGACTTCGTCGAGTCCGATGACGAGTCCAACTTCAAGCAGCCCACCACCGCCGCCCCGGCCACCGGGCAGGATCCCAAGAAGAAGGCCGCTCCCAAGCCCAAGAAGAAGGAGTACACTCCCTTCCCGGTGCCGCAGCAGCCAGATCGGAAGAGCGTCGTGGTCGAGTCCGATGACGAGTCCAACTTCAAGCAGCCCACCACCGCCGCCCCGGCCACCGGGCAGGATCCCAAGAAGAAGGCCGCTCCCAAGCCCAAGAAGAAGGAGTACACTCCCTTCCCGGTGCCGCAGCAGCCGAGCAAGGTGGATCTCGCCATCGAGTCCGGTGAGTACTTCATGAAGCCGGAGGATCGCCGCCGGGCGGCCGATGCCCGGCGCCTGGCCACCCAGGCCGAGGTCACGCAGAAGCGCAAGGCCGAGCGCAACCAGTCCTTCGAGGCCCCGGCCGAGCGGCCCGCCGCTTGGACCAGTGCCAGCTTCGATGACGAGCTGGCGCCTCGGCAGTCGGCCGGCTCCTCGGGGGCGGCCAGCTCCATCGAGGAGCTCCGCAAGAAGTTCCAGGCCCAGGGCGAGGCCCGGCGGAACCGGGCCAACGCCTCGGCTGCCGCGGCTGCCTCCTCTGTGGCGGACTTCGTTGACTTCGACAGTGCGGCCCCCTCGGCCAAGCGCCCCAAGCGCTCGTGAGGGAGAGAAGGAGCAGCCCGGCCGTGTGAGGGGCCGGGAGGGCTGTTACGAGCCCTCCCGGGCCCTCTGCGCCCGCCCTCCGGCCGCCGCTTGCCGCTGTGTCTGGCAGCACGGCCTACCCTGCAGCCGGCCGGCGCCGCCCGGCCATTGCCTCACAGAGTGCGCTTGTGTGCACATACCCACGCACACATACCCAAGCACGCGCACAAGAAAAAACACACACATAGCATTTGCACAAAGGCAGGCGTGTCTGGCGCTGCCGCCCCCCCCCCCTCTCTCTCCCTGTCGAGGGCCAGCCCATCCTCTCCTGTCCCCTCCTCCTCCTCTCGGGCGCCAGAGAGAGAGAGCGAGAGAGGGAGGGGCGGGGGGTGGGCGAGAAAATACACACTGAATTGCCCCCCTGAATGGGTGATCGTTGGCAGATCGCCCGTGCCGTCGTTCTCGGTCGGGGAAAGCTCGCTCAACGAGCGGGCGGGCGGACGAGCGAGAGAGAAAGAAAGGGCGGCGGGGCGAATGGGAACAGAGGGAGGGAGACCCCTCACCACAGGGGAGAAAAGGAGCTGCGGCGCGAATAAGAGGTCTCTGGGGGGGGGGGGGGCAGGAGGGGGAGAAATGCCCCCCCGCCCCGCGGGCGTGCCTGACAGGGAGGGGGCCGGGCGGCTGACCTGCCCAGGCGAAGCCAGCGCCCGGGGCTTGAACTCTGTGTTTGTTTGCTTTTTCACCGGCACGAGAGGACCCGCCCCAGGGTCTGTTGGGCGACCCCGCGGCGCATGCATGCCTGCCCGTCTGCCTTCTCCCCCAGCGCCCTTTCCCCTCCCCCCTGCCCTCCTGCCTCCCTGTATTCCATCCATCCCCCTGCGTCCCCGCCTCCTCCCCCCCTCCGCTGGTTGTCAGCCATGACCGAGGCATTTCCTCTGTCGAGGTTTCCGCCCTCCACGCCGGCCGGCATGCCGATCGCCAAGCCCTCGGCCTCGCTTCGGGAAACCATCATCCGCTTGGCTCTGCTCTGTGTGAGCATCATCATGAATGGGTCATTCTTCATTCGTTCGGAGGATCGCGGCGGTCCGGCCAGCGTGTGGAAGAAGGCTGCCATTGTTGCCGCCGCGGCCAGCATCCTGCTCGCCATCAGGCGCGCAAATGGGGCTGCCTAAGTCCACGTAAGGGCCGTCCCTCCCCCCCCCCCCCTCCCCCCTTTGCCTCGCCTTACCACCTTGGGTGCTGGTTCTCTTGGGCCGCGCGCCGTCGGCTGCCACCACATCTCGAGCGGACAGATGAACACGACCCCAAGCCCCCCAAAAAGAGGAGACACACATCCACACCCGCACAGGCAGAAGAGCACTCAACTCGGCAGGGTGGGACACAGCCGCCATGGACCAGAGGGAAAGGAGGGGGGGGGGGCAGGGGAAGGCACGTGTGGAATGCTCCATTCTAGGTGACAATGTGCGAATCGACAACGGCAGAGGCCGGTCTTCTGGGGGGAAGAGAGGGAGGGAGGAGGTGACGCTACGCAGCCGGCGCCCGGGTGTGACTGAGGGAACCTGGCGCACGGTGGCAATGCCACCACAAGGGCAGAAGGACAGAGACAAGGGGGGAAGGGAGGGGGGGGGGGAGAGAGAGAGAGAGAGGGAAAAAAACGAGGGAGGTGGGGAAGGGCCAGCACGGCGGAGTCCAAACACCATGGCCATCTCTCTCACCGGAGATTGATCACCACAAAGGAGGCCTGACTGATGTCCTGAACCGGGGGAACACCAGACGCGGGGCCGGACGCCAAGGCTCCATCAGCGATGCCGGTGCCGGCGTCGGCGGCCGAAAGCGCGGGCGATGACGGCTCCGACCCACCGACCGAGGAGGATGCCACCGAGGGAGCCGGGGTGACGACCTGAGGCCCAGTCGGGAGGGCGCCCGTGGAAACCGGTGCGGGCCCCGAAGCCGGCCCGGCGGCCACCGGCGACACGCCGCCCGAGGCCGGGGTGGAAGGGACACCACCGGCGGCCGCGGCAGGCGCCGCCGCCGCCGCCGCCACCGCGCCGCCCCCAACCGAAGCACTGGCAGACTCGGTGCCACTGGCACCGGAATCCGCATGGCCGATGATCTCAACGACAAAGTCCTGCTCGTCCTCGAAGCTCTCGATCATGCGGTCGTCCACCTGCACGGTGAGCCCCTTCCGGGTGATGCGGTTGATCGACTGGATGGGCGGCAGGAGCTCGTAGCGCTCGGAGATCTTCCGCCGGAGGTCGTCCAGCGTCAGGCGCTCAAGGAAGATGGCATTGTACACCTGGTCGCCGGAACGCTTCAGCAGAAGACAGAGAACCGGGCGCTTCTTGCGACCGAGGCCGCCGCCGACGCCGGTCGGAGCGTCGGCATCCAGGGCCAGATCCCCAATGCCGGAGAGGTCAAGGCTTCGGCGCTGTGGCACAACGCAAGCGCACACACACACACAAGCACACACACACACACACACACACACACACGTGCATATGCATGACAGGAAGAGGAGGGGAACAGAAGGGAGGCGAGTCAGCACACACAAGCACACAAGGAGACACAGAGGGGGAGAGAGAGAGAGAGAGAGAGAGGAAGGGAGGGAGGACAGGCGAAGGAGAAAGGACGGAGGGGAGCGGGGAAGGATGAAGGAGGGCTGGCAGGGGAGAGGCGGCATGACCCCATGGGAGCCAGCCAGGCGCGCAAGAGGGGACAGCCACGCACCGAGCTCTGGTCTAGCAGGGTGGCATCCGCCAGCGACGGAGACAAGAAGGCCGAGCTGGGCGGCAAGTGCGGCGAAGCCATGCCCGGGCCGGAAGAAAGGAACTTCGACAGGGAGGAGGCAGCCACGGCGGACACAGCATGTGAAGGCGTGCGCAGGCGCTGACCAGCAAGGCCGCCAGCGGCCGTGATGGCGGCAAGGGAGCCGCCTTCGCCGGAGCCGGAGCCCAACAGGCCGCCGGGTCGCTGCTGCCCCGGATAGCCGCCGCCCAGGCCGTAGTGCGAGGAGGACGAGGAGGAGGAAGCCGAGGAAGAAGAGAGGTGGTGGCCATGGCCGGCGCCGGCCGAATGCGGCCCATGCGGATGCCCAGCCGCACCGCCGCCGCCGCCGCCATGGTGGTGGTGGTGGTGGTGGTGCGCGTGATGCGCATGGTGGTGAGAGTGGAGGGCATGCGGGTGGCCGGCCGGGGCAAGGGCATCGGCCGAGCCACCCGGACCGATGGCCGCGTCGCCGGCCACGCCGCTGCCGCCACGCCCGGCCCCAGGGCCGCCGGCCAGGCCGGCTGCCGCGCCATCCAGGCCCGAGGAGATCGGCATCCGCGCCGGCATCAGGACAATGAGATCCTGCAAATTGCCATCATCGAGGATGCGCGCGCGGCGCTCCAGCACAAAGCGCGTCGTCGGCAGGGACACCCGCAGCAGCAGGGCCAGGGTCGCCTCATTCGGAACCGGGGAAGTGGACCGGCCGCCGTTGTTGGCGCCGGCGCCGGCGCCATTGCCGCCGCCGGCGCCGGCTCCACCACCAGTGACCGAGGCATTCAGCACACAGGCGGCCGTACCGCCGCTGGCAACCTTCTCCTTGATGAGCTGCTGCTGCGCTCGCAGGGCGGCCGCCGCGGCCGGGTTCTCACGGGAGAGGATCTCCAGCCGGCGATCGGCGGCCTTCTGGTCGTCACGGTTCTTGCGCTGGGCACCCTTGTCGCGGAAGATCTGCACCCGGCAGTGGCTGCTCTCGAAGATGTTGTCTTTGCGGTCCTCGGTGTCCGCCTGCAGGCGGAGGTGGATCCCCCGCGCGCCCTTGGTCCGGCTGAACTCCGTGCTCAGGCAGTTGAGCTTGATGACCACCTTGGCCGGGCGGAGGCCATGCCACTGGAAGGACACCCCATCGAAGTCGGACGTGGTGTCGATGTGGCGAATGTTCTCCGAGGCAGCCTTGTCGATTTCCATCGGCCGAGCCGACCGTGAGGACTGCTGCACCAGCCACAAATGCCAGTTGTCGTGGCGCTCCAGCCGGTGCAGCGGGTCGTGGAAGCCCACTCGAAGGACCGTGTGGTAGGTGGTGTCACGCTGCTCCGGGTCCGAGAAGTTCACCGCATAGTACTGGCCCTTGTTCAGGTAGGACAGCGGCGCGTCTTCCACGGTGGCCGGGATGGTGGCAGTACTGACGTCCATGACGACATTGAAGCGGAGGGGCCTGTCAAGATGGACAGGTAAAGAGCCATACGAGGGGGGAATGGTGGGGGAGGGGGAGAGGGGGAGAGGGGGAGAGGAAGAAAGAGAGAGAGAGAGACTGGTAAGTGCACTTGCCGGAGATGGTGGGAAAAAAAACAGGCGCCCCCAGACAATGACGAGGAGCAACACAACGCCGGAAGACGGAGCACGCACTGCGGGACGGTCTTCGAGGGAGGAGGCTGGCCCTCGGCCATGACATAGGAGGGCCGATTGCCGGCGAAGCCCCCCATCGAGGCGTCAGAAGGCCCGTCGGCCCCGGCCGGCCAATCCGCCGGTGAGTCGTCATCCGGGACCGACCCATTGCCAGCAGCCGCAGCCGCAGCCGATGCGGAGGAGGAGGACGAGGACGAGGACGAGGACGAGGACGAGGGGGCCGAAGGGCCATGGCCAGCCTCGCCAGCAGCATCGGGCCCGGTGGCCGAAACGGACATAGACGCTGGGTGCTGCCCGGCGAAGTGCCCGCCACCGGGCGCCGCGGCCGAGGCACCGCCAGCCGAGCCATGCATGAACATGGAAGGGAAGCCCGAGCCAAAGGAGATCGAGGACAGTGGAAGCCCGGCAAACGCCGCGCCAACCGAGGCATACGGATTGCCGGCCGCCCCGACTGCCGGGCCGCCCGGGCCACCGGCAGGCATGTTCCACATGCTCGAATGGGGGCCGGTCTGAGAGGCTGCCGCCGCCGCCGCCGCCGCCGCCGCCGCCGCAGATGAGTAGTACTCCGAGGGGTGGTGCTCAGCACCCGGGGGGAAATGCCCGCCACCGGCAACTGAGCCGCCATACACCATGCCGCCGCCGGTGGCCGCGGCCGCGGCCGCTGCTGCCGCCGCCGCCGCCGCCGCCGATGGCGGCATGTTGGGCGAGGCAAATACCCCGCCGACCGGCGCCGGGAAACCGGCATCCGCCGACCCGACACCCGGGGGAGCCGGAGACATGGACATTTGCCCGCGCCCACGAGAGCGCGCCCCGCGGGCCATTCCCGCCGAAGGGTGGCGGAAGCCGCTGGACGGGCGCATGGTGCCCCCGCGGCCGGCACGCATGGCCGCGCTGCCGCCGCTTCCGCCGGCGCCGCCACCCGGCGAGGAGGGGTTGGAGGAGCCATCATCCGGCTCCTCCTTGGGAGGAAGCGAGGCGGCCGCCTGGATGGCCGCGGCCGACTGTGTCAAGGACGCGGCCGCCGCGCTGGCCGCCGCCGCGGCCACTTCCGAACTCCGGACCTTCTTGGTGGAAGAGTAGCCGACGGCCGGGCCGCTCGGGCCGCCCGGGCCACCGGCCCCCACGGCCCCGGGCTGGTCGAATTGATCGCTCGACGTGGCGGCCGGGGCATCCTGCCCGGCAGCCGAGGAATGGTGCGGACGCCGGGGGCGCTCGGCCACCGGGGCAACCCCCGCCGAAAGGGCTGGAGCCCCGGCGGCTCCGCGTGTGGAAACCGGGGCCCGCGCCACCGCGGCCGGGCGGCCGCCCGAGGCCTTGGCCGCCGGGGTGGCCGTCACGGCCAGGGGGACAGCCACGCCCGCCGCCGGCGAGGGAGTATCCTCCATCAGCAGCCCGGGGCTGGCCTGGCGCGAGTTGCCCTGCGAGTGGTCCGAGCGGCTGTCCATGGCGTCGAGATCATCCGGGCCCGTTGCCGAGTGACCCGCCTGGCGGTCAAGGTCGTCTTCGTCTGCCGGCGAGGCAGCATCATCCAGTGACGGAGGGGGAAGAAGCAGGGAGTCCAAATTGTCGGTCGAGGCGTTAGGCCGGGGAAGTTGGTCGCTACTGAAGGGGAAAAGAGAACCGCTGTGGCTGCCGCTGAAGCTGTCACCATCGCCGCCACCGCCACCACCACCACCACTGCCGCCACCGCCGGGGAGCCCCTCCGTGAAGGAAAAGGCCTCCCCCGAGGGCGCCCCCCCCAAGGAGGAGAGCGAATAGCTGGCGGCGGGCGAACCTGGAGCACCGCCCGAGGGCAGGAAGATGTGCGGCGCATTGCCATGGGCATGCTGCTGGTGCTGGGCATGCTGCTGGCCGGGGGTCGAGGAGGGTGGCTGCTGCGAGTACGCATGATGCGGGTGATGGGGATGATGGGCCCCGGCCGGGATGGGCCCCGACGAGGGGAAGGGGTGGTGGTGCCCGGCCGAGGGGCCGGATTGCGGCGAAAAGGGATGATGATGGGGATGATGATGGGGATGATGGTGACCCGGGGCACCGATGGCCATGCTGCCAGGCTGCGAGGAGTAGGGGTGATGCGCGCCGGTGGCTGCCGCCGCTGCTGCCGCCGCCGCCGCCGCCGCCGCCGCCGAATGGTGGTGCGCATGAAGCGGGGCATGGACCGCCGCTGCCGCCGCCGCCGCTGCCATGTATGCTCCCATGTGGGGGCCAGACGTGCCGCCGGTGCTCCCGCCATACAGATCATGCCCGGGCGAGGTGAGATACCCGTGAGTGGACAGGAGGACCGGATGCGCCAGGGCCCCGGAGTGCGAGAGCCCATGATGCCCATGGTAAGACCCATGGCCATGATGGCTGCCATGGTAGGCACCATGCGAAAGGGCCGCCGTGTGGTGGGCCCCGGACCCGGTGGCCCCACTGCCCGAGAGGTAGCCGGCCGCCCCGGCAGGGGACAACGGAACCAAGTGCCCGACGATGCCGGACTTGCTGCTGGCATGGTGGCCACCATGGTGGTAGGGGCTGTGCGATAGGCCGGTCCCGGAGATGCCATCATGCCCGCCGAGGGAATAGCGCCGGCTGGGAACCGGAGACGGGGGACCGGCGAGATCGCCGCCGGCACCGGCGTCGATGCCGGTCGACATCTCGGGCGATCCGCCCTCATCCTCATCCCCGGCGGACGGGAGGTCGGCATCGCCATCGATGCCGGCATCCCCCGGAGGAGGGGGGGACGATCCACCGTCATAAACCGCCGGCACGATGGCCGAAGAGGAGGACGAGGCCGAGGCACCGGCCGAGGACCCGACCTCATGCCCCATGAAGGCCGAGTAGCCGTGTGCCTGAGGACCCCCGGCACCCGAGGACCCCATCGGCCCGGGGTACTGCACCAGCAGTGGATGATGGTGCGGGTGATGGTGCGGGTGATGATGCGGGTGCGAGGACATTTGCATGTAGGGCAAGTGGTGGGAGGTGGCGCCGCCGCCGCCGGCCCCGGTGGCCAGGCGCCCGGCCGACGCCCCGCCATACAGGTGCCCGCCGGGCTGCTGGTGCCCGGCCGAGGAGTGCGGACGAAGCAGGCCGTGCGCCCCGCCGGCATGGTGTGCCGACACGGTGGACAGCGGGTGCGAGAAGGGCCCGCTGGAGCCGAGAGAGGTCCCCTTGCCGGTGTGGCGGCCTGTTGCCCGGTGCAAAGGACGGGGAGGAAGAGAGGGAGGGAGGGAGGGGGGGGGGGAGGGCAGGGAGAAAGAGAGAAGCCGGGATCAGCGACGGCCAGGGCAGAATGGGCATGACAGACGCATGGGGGAAGCGCACTGGAGACACCATCTTCAGAGTCGCCGGCAACAGGGTGCTCAGCGAGCACGTCCTCCGAGTGTACGGGCTGCAAGTCCTCCAGGTGCACATCGGTCTCATCGATCCCACGATAGTGAGAGAGGAGATCGACGTTGGAGTTGGATGCAAGGCTCAGGTCATCATTCTCGTGCTCGTCCGAATAGTCGGCGGGATACATTCTCTATTGGGCGAGTGGGGGTTGAGAAAAGGGGGGGGGGGGAGAACCAAGACAGGGGA